ACAATTACCAAAATGTTGCAAAACTAACATTTAACAAAATAAGCCAAACTTGTTTAAACTTTGCAGTAGTGCTTCAGGTCAGAACAACAATAATAATAATACTAATAATATTATATATAAATGACTTAAATATGATTAATTAACAAAAGTATGATTCAAATTTGGGAAAATTGGAAATATCTGATGAAAAAACAATATTAACATGTATTTATTTATTCAGCATCTGTCAAATATACCTTTTTTATCATGTTCAGAGCTGAAACAATTTGTTGATCGATTTTGATAATTGACTCATCATTTAAGTGATTTTTCAAGTAAAAATAAAATCTCCTGGTTCCAGATTCTGTTTTTGTTTTCCTTTGTCGTTTATCACAGTAAATTTAATATCTCTGGGCTTTTGGATTATTGTTTGGACAAAACAAGACATTTGAAGAAGCCGACTTGGATTTAAGGAAAGGTGATTTATTGATTAATTGAGAAAATAACTGGCAGATTAATCTGTAATAAAAATAATTGTTAGTTGCAGCCCTAATCATGCTGTTTCGTCTGGATATGTCTATAGCTCATATTTATCAGCGCACTTAAACTATGTGATGAACATTGCCTATTTTAGGACGTAATCCATTGCTACCTTTTTATTAATGTTTAATTTAAGCATCAGTTTAACAAAAAAGAATAATCTAAATTAAGGTGTATTTAACATGACTTTTAACCTGACAACCTGGCCCATCTAATCAATCTAAATGTCCTCTACTAAATGAATTCATGCAACATTCATCCACACCTCACACAATTATTCATAGACACACTTCCCACTACCTTTTTTTTTTTGTTCGGCCAAGAGTATAGAAGTAGAAAAACGAATTTCTGTCAGTGAAGCTGAACCCAGCCTGGAACATATTAGTGGACAGGTTTGAGTCGAGGCTCGTCGCTGCTGCTGCTGCTGTTTGCTGAGTGGTGCAGTGAGGCAGCCATTCATTCATTTAGCAAGCAGTGTGTGTTGTTTTCACTGGCATTCCTCAATCCTGTATTAGGGATTACATCAAGCCCTGAGCAGGAAGGAATTCCTGTCATCATGTGGTCAGTGAAGGCAGCTTTTGGCTCGCCAAAAAGAGACACGGATGCAGCCATTTGGCCACTGAAAGAAGGTCAAAGAGTAGTGTCTGTGTTTGTCATTGGACAGCTTGTGTGTGTGTGTGTAAGACAAGGGCAATAAATATTTAGCGTTGGTATCAGCAAGCATGTACAAACTTACATGTGAGCGTCACAACATTTTCCTTAGAAGTATCTAACTTCTTTCTTTGACATTAGATAAGGTCAAAATGCCTCAAACCACCAATCAAGCGAAGAATTTCCAGTTATACAACCACAAATGCGTCATAAAATACACCAAAAGCAGACATGGGGAGCTACAAATAGCCTTGCTACGGATTTCAACAGTGAAGATACACCACATAGAGGACGTTCATCTATCTGTGTTTTTTTTCCCAAACATCCCTCCGGACACTTCTCCACCTCCGTCATAACTCCCTGTTCCATCGTTTGCTGCAGATCGCTCTCTACTATCCACGTTGTCCTGTCAGCAAAGCGGAGTCCACAGGGAGAGGACAGTATGGAGTGGTCAGCCGGCCCAAAAATAGCACTGCAGCGAGTAAACGCAACTGATAGTGGGAGGGGGGGGTTTAGTTGTTGTCCCTTAGGTACACAACCACACAGGCACTTGGACTATATGGTCCTCGTGTGAACAGAAAGCCACACGCAGACACACACAAATAGACGAGAGCTAAATCAAACCGAGCTTTTTGTTGCAAAATCATGAGTCATGGCAAGTCTATTCTTAGTCTGGGGGTGTTTGTGTTTGCCCAAGTTGTGTGCACTTAAAGTGATGCTGCACAAAAGGCTAGAAGAGTATCCAGAATCTGTTTGGGAACAAGCTTCGGGTCACTTTGGGCAGTGGAGCGTAGACTCATCAATGCATCGCAGTTATATAAAACCCAGTTGGGCCTAGCAGAGTGCCCCTTTAAATCTGAATGTAAGATTTCTAAAAAGAAAGTGAATCCAGTCACATGTTTATTTTCATTTTACATTCCTATGTATCATATTTAAGTAGGTTAGGTCGGGAATCATTAGGTTGTTATTCAATCATTATTTCCTACTTCTCTTATAGAGCTTTCGGCCGTTGGCACAGGACCACGCCACCCCCGGGGGGCTTTAGTACGAGGCCATTGTCTTCCAACAACCACGAAGCTGGGCACGGAAAGTGTGAGCGTCCGCAGTGCCAGACTCACAGGTGAAGTTCCACCGCAAAGACCGGTCAGGGTCCTGCCGGGGGGAGAGGCAGGCGGAGGGACGGACGGTTGGACGTGGCTCCTGTGGGTGTTTCTCTGGCAGTGTCTTAGCTGGTTGTTGTGAGGAGTGAGAACGAAGCAATCAGCAAGTATACTGCCGCAGAAATTCTTCGCAATAAGAGGCCCCGGGCACGCAGCCGGCGCAAGGAGAAAGACGCACATCAGCATTGTAGCCGACATGGATCCTGCTGTTACTGTAAGTTTTTACATGTGTGTGCTGACGCTGTAGGAATTAACTGAGGACCTGGTACAGAATTAACTCAAGATAGATCAACTGAGAGCCTATTTGTTAACAGTCTCTACAATCTTTACAACTGGATCAAAGCATCAAACTTCCACAGTGTGTGTTGTACTTCTGTGATCCTCTGCTGCCATCTTGTGACTGAAAGCATCCTCCCAACAAGCTTTTGTTCATTAAACACTGCAGCAACTTGTAAAACCTACAGTGTTTATCTTTTTTCAGTCAGAAAATATGGCCTGGCTTACCGTGACTTCAGTTAAAAATGCATGTCGTTTTTGTCACTACATTTAATTTTGCTTCGTGAATTATCATTTATCAAGTATTTAATTCTGGATAATTAATAGTGAATATGACTGACTCCTTATTTATTAGTTGCAGCCTAATAATTTTCTCCATGTTATAAATTATATTTGTACAAAAAGGGGTAAATAAAAGCTAAATAAATTAATTTGCCTTGTTTGTTTTCACAGTACACACGCACTCTGTAATCATGAAAAACTTGTGTTGTGTAAACCACTTTGCACTGTGTGAAAGCACTTTGAGACCCTTGAAAGAAAATGACGTTGCCATGCGAACACAGAAGACCTAATGAGTGCAGATGAGGCAGAACGGCCTGGACGCCAGGTGCACGCTAATTTAAGTTTTCACAGGCACACACAGCAAACGCAGACAGAGCTGAATGTATAGAGCGCTCCTGACTACACATCATCTGTACTGTATTTATTGTCTCCAAAACTGGTAATTGGTTGTGTGATTGTGGTGACAATGCAGATGCGTTTGCTGCAGACTGCAGGAAACAGACAACGGTGCCTCTGCATTGCTGCAAACACAAAAAAAAGAGGATGCAGTTTTTTCTGGGCTGCAGCAATGCAGAAGCATTAAAATCCTGCTCTCACACAAGGTCACCGCTTTATGGTTTTCAGACGTTCGACACTCCAACTCCTTAGAAAACCACGATTATAAGGCCACCAAAGCATTAACGGCTGCTCGACACAAAACATTACTCATTACTTAAAAATGTCAAACGCTTCCTTTATTAGGGGGGAGGGGGTGAACTGTTTGATAACAAGGAAATTTACTTTGAGGCCAAAGGTGACCTCCAGCAGCAGATTTTTAATTAAATCTGAATTATAATTTAATTTGGACATTCTTGAGACAGTCCCTGTTAAGTGAGGGTGACGGTCTCAGGTTCTCGGTGCAGTGTGTTTCTGTGAGCTGCCTATCAAAAAGGAAGTATGTGCTTTGTTTTCCAACTGGTTAACGGCACAGGGCTGAGGAATACTGAGAAATTCATATACCTTCTGTGGACGACCATAACATTGATAATACAGACATTAGGGCTAAAATGAAAAAATAATAATGAAAAAATGTATTATTCAATGACACTCGATGAATTATTCTAATCACTTACATCACTCTGAGCCTGCAGGTCCTCAAACTGGAGGCTTTTTTCATTTCACATAAATGTACATTTATTAACTCGGAAAGACAAAACCCTCTGTTCTCAAAAAATGTGACGGGCATTTTCAATTCAGTAATCTTATCTCATCGGTAATGAAAAGTAATCATCAGTCGCAGTTCAAATAATGTTTTGGGGATGACTATAGGTGCTTTCAGAAGATATTTACATACAAGAACAAACTATAATGCCCGGTGTTTATGGCATTAGTAAATAAATCTCTTTCCAGCTCAAAATCCTGCAGCTAGGATTTTAATGAACAAATTAATATCAGCTTATTTCACTGATCCTCGCATCCATAAACTGGCTTCCAATTGTTGTTTTCTGTTTTTACTTCTGTACATTACTGACTGTTTTATTAGCTCGCATTTTGCACAGTAAAGCCATTTTAGCGTGTTGGTAAGTTTTAATAAAGAGTGAGATAGAGAGTGACAGTTGTTACAAGTGAAAAGAAACATTTTAAAATAAAATCTGATATGAAATTCTTCTACTTCTTAAATGACCTGATTAGTGTTGTGTGTGTTTAGCTTGAACATGACAGGTGTTATAACAGAACATCTATCTATAAACCCTGCCTGCAATAGGAACTACAATAACAGGCTGTCCTCTGGTCTTATGTGACAAACCTTTACACACAAGTAAAGACCATAAGAGACAGAAATAGACCTACATGAGTCTGCCTATTACCAGCTGACTGACTTCTGCTTTTGGTTCCGGTTGAGGGAGGGAAGGAGGGAGGGGTTAAATACTGAGGAAAAGTTTGTTTGGCTCCCTGAAACGCAATGGGCGAAGTTTCCTAGCGAAGTCAAAAGCTGTGTGTTTCAAATGTCGCCTGGCTTCAAGGGTCAATCCCGCGGAGAGACCATGGCGATACCCTAAACGTAGACTACAACATGACACACTAGTCTGCTCGTCGGTGTCTGCAAACCTGGTTTACCCTCGACTCTGAGCGATGGCTGGGGGCAATCACACGGTTGTGTACTTGTCCGAGCAGGTGGTGGTTTTGATTTCGTGCGCCCTGTCGTTCCTGGGCTCCACGCTGATCATCCTCACCTACTTTATTTGGCCCGATCTGAGGACGACCCCGCGGAGGCTGCTGGTCTACCTCTCGGTGTCTGACTGGATGTCCGCGGTCTCCTACGGCTTCGGAGTCTGGAGGGTTTTCGGGACCGACTCGCTGGAGTGCGTCGTCCAAGGAGCGATATCCACTTTCGCCAACACCAGCTCTTTCTTCTGGACCGTGGCCATCGCTGTTTACCTGTATATCTTTATCGTGAGGTCCAGCCAAAGAGTCGCTGACAGCCTGGTGTTGTTTTTCCACATTATCAGGTAAGTGGCGTGGGTTGGTTGTACTTTTATTTATTTTGCCGCTAAGATAAACTGAATTTTGAGAGAGCTGACGTTAGACAAGTAACGTTAAGTTATGTGAGCTTCAGTGGGAATGCCGCCGAACCTGTACCCTGAAGCATCTTGGGATACGTACCTGACGACTACGTGCTGGAAAGTTAGCCACCTGCTTCCTTGAACTGTTAAACAAAGGTTTCATTACAGTTTATCTGTTAAGCTGGTCCAGTTTGCTGACAGAAAACCAAAAATAAAACTCATTTTAACACTATACAGCTAGCTTTACTAGCAGGGTACCGCCGCGCCAAGAGCGAAGTTTCCATGGTAACAGTGTCAGGGGGCATTCTGGTCCACGCGGACTCGTTCTAATTGCTGAGGTCACAAAGGAGCTGCTGACTTTCCGTCTAAAAACTACATCTAAAGTTAAAGGACATCCTAGTTTTGACTTTATGTCTGACTCAGAAACTACTAAACATTTGTATGCGCTCATAAAACAACTAATAGCACAAAGTAACGTATATGTCAGCAGGTAATCGTGATCTTTAGGCTCCGTCTCTCAGCGGGTCAACTGATGTTACCATAACAACCGGACTCCCCCCCCCCCCTGTGNNCCCCCCCCCCAGTGGTTTATCTCAATAAGCCAGACAAACAGTTTTAACCACTATGAAGGCTGTTGTGTCGCCTGAAAGAGAAACTTTACTTTAACCTGTAAACTATAATTAAATAAAATCCTCCGGTCCCATATGAATAAATGATGTCATTTGTTTGAACTAGGATTGCTTGTTAGCTCTGAGTTGTCTTTTTATAATGGTCTAAACCTGTTTTACCAAGGCAAATTCCTTTGAACCTTTCAACAATAAGGCAATTCAAAGAGCTTTATGGAAGACATTAAAACAAGATATAAAACACCACAAAACAATATAAAAACAAATCATATTATAATGTAGTATAAGAGTACAATAAATGGAAGATGAAAAAAGATAACATTTAATACAACAGAATAAACAGGAGAACGAACAATCCACAGTGCAAGATATGGGTGAATAATCCCAGATTTAATTTAATAAAAATGCAGTCGCAAACAGAAAAGGTGTGAGCCTGAGCAGACCTCAGGTTTCCTGCAGATATAGAAACTGAACGCTGCGTATGGGATTACTGTGGTGAACTGATGTAAACATGTTGTGCAAAGTCACAATATTTCAACTTATTGTCTACCCCACATAATGAATTTGAATGGAAACCCAACAGAAATGTGGTCACAAAAAAAGAAGTTGAACGCTGCTTCCTCAGGTTAAAGTCAAGCTTTTCTCTGTTATTTCACCTTTACTGGAATAAACAGGAAGTAAACATTTAGATTGTTTTGATGTTGTTGAGTGACCAACATTTGGAAATTTCCTGCAATTGTTTTTTCTCACTGCGTGCCAGTCACAGTATACCCAGACTTGAACTGACAACACTGGGGGAAATGTTTGGAAATTTACTCAGAAGTATTGTTCCCTTGCCTGGAATTATTCTCACTTGGTGCAAAAGCAGACTTGAGATAATGCTGATGCATTAGCACCTGTCTTCATATGTTAAAGTTTTTAAACAACAAAACTGGAAAATCAGATCCTTCAATCATGAAAAGTTTTTTTTAAGCACAGAAATGCAGACATTAATTCACCTTAAGTTTGAATTTGTCGCATAAAAACACATTAAATTGCCAAAATGATTAGATTTGATCACTGAAATTATCCCTGATGTACCACACGATATTAAGCAGCATTTTCCTGGTCCCAAAGTGATGCCATAATTTGTTGTTTCTAAGCGTAATTATCACCCAATACTGATGAGCTGACGATCATATCATACGTCATACAATTTTAATTAGTCCCCAAGCTACAAATCAACCTCGACAAACAAGGCTTCGCTGATTAAAAAGTATCTATTGGAAGGCTGTCAAAAGGTTTAGCTAACCACTAGCTAACGTTTTGTTGTAAGCTAGACTCCACTTTGAATGCTCTGGTACAAACACACACATGTTCGATCCTTTGTGTCTGCGTTCCTGCTGCACATTAATGAGCTGTCCATGTTGATTGTGAAGATGTAAGCAGGGCGTCGTTTCACTGCGCTGTATAATTGATCTATTTTTGGACCCAGGAACATTTTCACCCTGGGTACGCCTCACCGCAGTGTCGGTGGTTGTCATTCTAATTTTGTTTCTGTGAATTCTCAAATGGTCCATTGATTTGAAGCTTACACAACAGAGCCATTCATCCACACACACTCACACACTCACACACAGGGCCCTAAGTATTGTGGTTTTTATGATGATCAGCCACGTATCGCCATGAAAATGTAGTGTTCTTTTACATTGCTGTTTTAGGAGAAGAGGTAACGCTTCGGGGGGGAAATGTAGCGAACATTGCTTCTCAAAGTGCTGAAATCATTTTGTGGTTTTCTTAGCTAAAGCAACACAATGACTCTGCATTGTCAGATATCTACCACAAACAAGCCTAAAGCACAAGATAATCTATCACATGGTGTCACATGACTTTGCAATAAGCGTCGGACCAACCAAACATTTAGGTGCAAAGATTGTGAAGATATTTTTAAAGATAGTATGTTGACCTTTTGGGGAAGTTGTGTGTTAATCCTCTCTGTTTTGTGCTCTAGCTGGGGTATTCCTCTGGCCATCACTACTGCAGCCGTGTCCCTGAACAAGATTGGCTACGACGCGTCAGAGGTGTCGGTGGGCTGGTGCTGGGTCAGCATCCACGCTCCTGACCGGGTGCTGTGGATGCTGCTGACGGGAAAGATCTGGGAGTTCTTGGCTTATCTCACCCTCCCTGTCCTCTACATCCTGATCAAGAGGCACATCCACATAGCGGTGAGAACCAGACCAGGTTTTTACCAGCGTAATGCTAGCTACGACGACAACCTTGGAACGTTTAAAAACACATACATATTATATTATTTTACACAATTCAAACTAGAAAGTACTCAGAGAGCACATATTATACCTCATACAGGGGATGTCTTGAAGGTTGCTGTACACACGTCCTTCTTATAAGTACAGTTAGGGGATCTCCAAAGTCAGTAAGATTTATCTTCTGGGGACCATAAATGTCCCCACAAAAGTTCACAGCAATCAATCTAATTGTTGAGATATTTTTGCCTTTTCCAAACCAACATGGCCGTCCCCAGAGCCCTGTTGCCAGACATCTCTTTCTCATAATATTAAGAAATCCTTTGTTTAAAAAAAAAAAAAAAAAGTCTTGATCTACCTCTTGATCTCAAGTAGTGAACTACTTGTTCTTTGGCCCATGGCATCCAAATGTTATTGAAAGAAGTTGTTTGTTTTTTGTTGTCTTTTCTATGTTACAGAAACATGTCTTACCATGTTGAGAAGATCATCTGCTCTCATCTGACACATCTCATTCTTATCATTCTTATTTTTCTGCTGTTTTTGTTGTTTTTGTTTAAACTGTCTTACACAGCATGCTGCCCTGTCCGAGTATCGGCCCATCTTGGCCAACAGGCCTCAATCACAATCCTTCTCCTCCATGGCTGATATGAAGCTAACACTCATTCCCATTATCTTCATCACCCTGCGCATTTGGAGCACAGTGCGCTTCATACTGCTGCTAGCCGACTCTCCAGCCAGACAGAACCCAGTGCTGGTCACTCTACATGTGAGTTTGAAGTTTCTTTTAAACCAGTGATGTCCAGTGTAGAGGATAATCCCCTTTAATCTCAGTTTTTATCCTACACCTACTTCTCCTGCTTAATGCTGCTTCATCCTGTGTGTGTGTGTGTGTGTGTGAGACAGCACATCAGTGTGGGTGGATGTGTGTGCTATCATTAGTTTATGCGCAGTTAAACTTGTGATGGTGTGATGCAAGCTGCCATCACACATTTAGTGAATCATCACACGCTCATCACAAAACCATGAAAAGTTCCTGTAGGGATCATTTTGAACATCCAAATAGTATCATAATAACTTCAAAATCTATTAAAATGTCCTTCTGAATGAGTTAAAAAGCCTTTATGATGTAGTAACTTTATGGACAGTTTTGTTCCATCATATTGTGACTGTAAGTGTGTGTAAAATATTTTTATTTGATATCATAACACAGTAGTTCATAAAACAAATGAACTAATGAAATATGTTATTTTATCAGTCAATTAAAACCAATGTAAAAATATTGAATATCCACTAGTGACAAGCATTGTCTGAACTCAAAATATCTCTTTATCAGATAATAATATTAAGTGGTTTTATTTTAAGGGACATTTTATTCCAGTGTAATAATTTCTTACTGCCACACTCCCCTAATGGCTCTTGTTTGGACCTAACAGGGGATTGGCAACACCTCGCAGGGAGCAGCCAACTGCATCATGTTTGTATTGTTGACTAAGCCAATCCGCACGCGCCTCTGCACCACACTCTGCTGCTGCTCCAAGTGTCGAGCCGAGCAGGCGCAGCACTCGCACGACGACCCTCACAGGCTGCTGCCGGGACAGGACACGGCCACACAGAGAGAGGAAGACAGCCCCGGTCGAGTCCGGACTGATAGATGATACTCGTTTCTGCGGATGTGAAACTAGACGAAGGTTTACATGAAGGGAGAGCGGTGTCAGGCTCCACGTAATATTAAGCCTCATTACAGGAAGTGCCTTTGAGAAAGGGTTGGAGATTCATGCACATACGTGTCACAGGGAAAAAGTCACATGCACTTTGGGTGATGAGGATGATATTACCTGACTGTGCTGTTGTTGCAAATTGTATATGTTGCACATATATGTTGAAGTTTTATTATAGATGGGCTGTACATCAAACTTTAAAGTGGTTCTTGGTGCACATTTTCTGGTTGCATTTTGAGCACTCTGTGAAAGAGCAGATTTATTTATCCCGTACTGTGTGGAGTCACTTACATTCTGAGGTTGTCACTGTGAAATGAATAGTTCTCTTTCATCTAGTTCCACTGAGAATTAGAGTATTGTATTTATGGAGGAAAGTTACTTACCATAATAACAACTGTATAGCGTTCTCACTTTAGGTGATAAACATACTGTAAATGTGTATCTTTTCATTGTCACTGTGAATTCTAGTGATAACCCTCACAAAATCTTACCTTTCGACTATCAGGGTGTGTTGCCTTTGAAAGGTTTGTCATTTTCTTCAGAGTTCGTGTCAGTTAAAGCGGATTCACAGAAGAAAACATCTGTAGAAACTTCTGATTCCGGTCCTGCACCATAATCTTCATCACTGTACATCTGTATGCTCAGTCATTGGTTTGCTAAAATATGGCTAAATAATTGTAACAGAGCTTCTAGAAAGGAAATAGCACCGCATAGAAACAGTGTATTTAGTCATAGTTTGGTGAGGCACGTCACTATTAAAATCCATTGTAACTGGCATGAACTCTATGTGCTCTGTAAGTGAGCTAACTTTCTACAACCGTCTTTCAAGCATGATATTGATGAGGTTTTTTTTATACATTTTGGGGTTATCGCTTTAATATATTCTGTAATATAACTTTAATGTAAAATATTTTCCCAGTTTCTACCAAATATGACTTTGGGTGTGTCGGTTTGTGTGCAATAAACCTGATTACATCTGACATCGACTTCAATATCTAGTAAATGAAATGAAGAGTTGTATTATAACATAAAACATGCTCCTATGATGCTCATATCGGGTATAAATTCTTGCCTAACTTCATAGTTGCAACATTAGACAGTGGATACAAAACCTCATCCATGTTGCCAAATTTAACTCAACATCAATAAGGTCATTGTGGTCAGGATGTATGATCCATCATCACATGCTATCCTTCCTCCTTGAAACTTGACCCACTTCTCCTTTGACCCCTGTTACTGCTGGCTCCTGTTTGTCCGAATGAGCTGCAGGATGCGGGCAAACCAACAAAGCAGCATGAACCTACTGAACCGTAATGTGACCGACCTGGCTTACGACCACAGAGCCACTTCCTGTAGTTCCTTCAGCTTCTTTAAAGTATTGTCTGAGATCCATTGAGTCTTAACAAGCCTGCCGCAGAGATGATGAGCTACATTCAAATAAGATTCATGACTGTGATCATTGGGAAAGAAATTCCACCATGTTGACAAGCCAATTTTCTCTTATCCTCAAGCGATTGTTTGTTTGACTCTCAGAGGGCAAGCGCTTCTTTGGGATGTCTTGTGTAGGTGTTGTCATAGCAAGTGGATTTATGGATCTTATATGGTCTCTGTTGGTCTGTTTGATGAATTAGGCAATGCAGAAGTGGATAATATTGCTGTAATAAGCCTTTATATGAGCTCGGACAGGCTTTTCATTACACTGAAACAACTCTGCTCTTATGAAGACAGTTCTCATACATTATTTACAGAACATGGAGACTTTTCACTGTTTATACTGAAAGTATTAAAAACATAAATATTGTTTTTTATGAGATAGAGTTTCCATACTGTCTAATTTTATCTGTAGTCTAAATTAATGCAACACAGTGCAGAGTTCACTCTCTCAGGACCATCAGTAACACTGACAGAGCACTGGATACCACGTCTTGGAAAATGGAGGATGTGAAAGCTGTTTATGGCGATGACATCCAAAACAGCCAGTGAACAGTTTTTTTTGTCCTTGAGGACGACGGAGGCCACGCTGAGGACCGACACTTACTATATTTCCTGCAGGAATTAATCTATTGTGTGGGTTCTGAAATCTGGCTGACATTGAGGTAACTGATGCCTGTGGAAACACTTAAGGAAGAGGTTTGTGTTCTCTCCTCTGCTGGCTCTCTGCCCACTTAATTCATTAAGTTAAAGTGTACCAGAGGGCCGCACTACACTGCATGGGCTGATCATTCACCAGTCAAGTCAATGGAAGTCATAACAGACTGCTCATTTGGCTATGTCGCTGGTTCCCAGAGCCAGTTCTCAAGCACACTGTCCAACAAAGGTAATAGGCAATAGGTTTGAGCTGCGACAGGACATTTTAATTAAAAGTGACAGAACAGAAACACTACAAGCATTGTGCATTTGTTGTACAACTCACATTTTAAATTCCCAAATTTCCCAGCTTTGTGTTAAACAACATATTCTTCCTTTGATATCAAGCCAGAGTTTACATTGGGTTTCCCCACGAGAAACTACCTGACAACATTACGTCACCATCTCAGTGTGACCTTATAGGTGCAGTGTCCTAATGAGGAAACCTGCAAACTGGCTCCATCATTTGTGTAACAAGGTTTAACTCCTCTGAATAATAGAGTGTCAAGAAGCGGGTGAGTACAAGGCAAGAAGGGAAGGACCGAAATGCATAGACAGCAAAGAGCTCAGTGATTTATTGGCAAAAATGAAAATAGAAAAGCTTACTGGAGTGAAGTTTGAACAGAAGTAACTGACGGCCCACAACTAGCATGTGCACAGATTTACCCCAGAAGGTGGTTTGACTCCCTGCCCTTTTGCCCCAGACTTGATAAGTGCCCTCTTGGCTGATGGTAACTACTATATCTACCTCTATCTCAATGAGCTCAATTGTTCCCCCCTAAAATCAGTATCGTATTGGCCTCAAAAATAAAAAATCAGTCAAGCTCTTAATCAGTTTGTATCCTTCCTAATTTCACTGTATGGAGAAACCCACTGATTTAATGTAACTGAAGGTGTCTAAACAACAGAACAATGAATGAATTTAATGAAAACAAGTCCATTATGTGTGGTATATAGAATTTGTAGCTGGGCTGAGTGCACCGTCAGCTCCTTTTTGCTTGAGACCCTGCCCCTAGAAAATGTGTGGGACATGGGAAAGGTGTGAAAGTCTGAGGGCATCTGGTGGCAGTGGATGGGCAGAAGGGAGGGACAGAGGGGCACAATGTGACACTGAGGTTAATTTTATTGCACCGGTTTGCCAAATCTAGTAAAAAACAATTCAAGCCAGAAATTCTGTACTGCATGCTGTGATTGCAGTGTCATCCCGCTCTGTATTTAAATGGATTAAAGACATTAAGCTTTTGATTTTGCTTGACAGAAAATATCTTATTTTTAATGTTCCTGTTTCCCTGTAATAACTGTAATAACTCTAAATAAGTCCAAATCAAGCACTCCATTGTTTAGTTAACTGTATAAAAATCTATTAGTGGCCTTTCGTGTTGTCTTTTGTTTCAGTTAAATTCTTACATATAATCTTGCTTTATTTAACACTACATCTTTTATGATATTTTGCTCTGAGCATACATAGTTCTGACTTCTATTTATTCCTATTTCCCACCGGCAATATTTACTTTCAGACATGTTAGCCTTGTTTTTGTAGTAAGGCATCCTGAAGCAAATAAAATCCAGTTGCAACAGCAAACAGCCTCAAGGCCATCTTTAGAGATAACAGGAATGCAGCACGTGACAAACTGAAGACAAAACAAACACAGAAAGACATTTACAGCTGTGGGGTTTCTGCAGAAAATTAGTCTATTCTGTAATTAGTGAGTGTCTTCAATGTGAGAAAAGATAAATCCTTCAAATTGCTCAAGGATCCACACATAAGTCTTTTCCAACTTTCTGTGATTTCAGCCTTGTGTCACCATTTTGTAACACCTCTTCTGTAATCCAGCCTGCAGGTGGATAAGCCATAAAAACGCCTGTGGCATTATCATTTTGGTGATAAAATAACTCTAGCCTTTAATGACAGCTGTAGGTTCCATCTATTGGACCAATTCCGTTGAAATTGCAGTGCAATAAAAGTATCAAATGCCGACATTCAGCCCCGGGCAGCATTTAATATCTTGAGTATATTGCATACAAAACTTCCTGAGCCCGAGAGCACAGTCAGCAACATGAAAACGATAACCGAAGCCAGGCTTTAAACCGCTGCTATGCTCTCTGATCTCGTGTCCAAAGGGCAGACAGAATCCAGTGGTGCAGTAATGACAGAGTGAGCTGTTATTATTGCTGAAAGTGAGTCCAAACACAGCCAATGGCGGATAGTGAGGAATGGGGGAAGCCTGTGGAGAGGAGAGGGGTGAGTGCGATTATCACATCGATGTTAGTATTGTCTGTTCTGTGAGGGTGTACTGTACACACAGGCTAATCATGATGGATGATGTTTGTGTTGCAGAGATTAACTGTGGTGCTGGCACTGGCAACACTCATATCTGCATTTGGTTCTTCATTCCAGTACGGTTATAATGTGGCTGTTGTCAACTCTCCATCTCCGGTAACCAAAGCAAAGAAACTGAATATTTAGTGTAACACAAAGAGATACTTGATGTGTTTTCTCTCAGTCTTGTCCTCTTCTCTTCAGTTCATGCAGCAGTTCTATAACACCACCTACCTGGAGCGCTATGGCAGCCCGATGGAGGACAACTTCCTCACTCTGCTGTGGTCTCTCTCTGTGTCCATGTATCCGCTTGGAGGATTCTTCGGCTCTCTGATGGTGGCCCCTCTGGTCAACAAACTGGGGAGGTAATGCTGCATGTTAAGCCCCATGCAACAGTGGATACGTCACATTAAAACACAATAAAAAAAACTGTTTGCCTAATGTGACTTTAAATGGACAGGAAGGGCACCCTCCTCTTCAACAACATCTTCTCCATTGTCCCTGCTGTGATGATGGGAGTCAGTGAGATTGCCAAGTCCTATGAGATCATAATTGTGGCTAGGTTTATAGTTGGGATCTGTGCAGGTATGTTCAAGCTTTTCAAGGAATCAAGACTGATGAGAGTACATTATAAAATGTTTATTAACTTCCCTATGTGCAGGCCTCTCATCCAACGTGGTGCCCATGTATCTGGGAGAACTCTCTCCCAAAAACCTGAGGGGAGCCCTTGGCATCGTACCACAGCTCTTCATCACCATTGGCATCCTCAGTGCACAAGTGCTGGGCATCAGAAATATACTTGGCAACAGCACAGGTAAATGTTCACTGATAAGATGCTGAAGCAAATCCAACAGTTTTTTGGGGGGCTTTTTAGGTTGGTCCATTCAGTGGTGTAGTGGTGCCTGGAGGAGTGGGTATTCTCTTAATTTATGCCCCTAAAGGGTCCCGTCCATGTATAAATGTCCTGTGTTATAAACATTGACATATAACACTACTCTTGCATATTTAGTTCACCCAAACATTAACAAATATTAGCCACCAAAGAGATCCAGATTTTGCATCAATACTGGCCCACAGACAGGCGACATAACTACATAATTATACATTTTGAGAAAGTTACTTAATCCACGCATTCAGCTTGCAGAAAACAACTGAAAAATACACAGATGAGGGGATCTGCACTATACCACTGGTGTCATTGGTGAAAGAGGTGTCTCTGTTCCCTCTGTATCTAGGTTGGCCCCTCATGCTGGGTTTGACCGGTATCCCTGCCCTGATAGAGCTCCTGCTGCTGCCCATCTTCCCAGAGAGCCCCAGGTACATGCTCATCCAGAGAGGAGATGAGAAGACAGCAAAGAAAGGTAAGAAAACACCAAAACTGCATACATGGCTGAGAGGCAGAGGGAGAATAAATGAATAAAAACTAGCAATAAAAACTGTATATTATGGTGTTCTGTATGTTTTGTCACCTTCAGCGCTACAGCGTCTGCGCGGCTGGGAAGATGTGGATGCAGAGCTGTCAGAGATGCGTCTGGAGGACCAGTCGGAGAAGGCAGAGGGCCACCTGTCTGTGCTCAGCCTGCTGTCCCAGCGCTCACTTCGCTGGCAGCTGGTCTCCATCATCATCATGAACATGGGCCAGCAGCTGTCGGGGGTCAATGCGGTGAGTCACGCCCGTCGCCAGTTGTCCTTGTTCTTGTCCCTGACCCACTGATGCCCACACCAGATCTGTTTCAGATATAACACCAGTCAGACTGTCATTGAATGCTGTGGATAAAGCATCAGGACACAAAGCAGGATGAGTTTTCTCCAACTCTTGGCTACTTCTGTAACCACAATGCATTTCTCTTTCCCTCCTCAGATCTACTACTATGCAGATAGCATATATGCCACTGCAGGAGTCAATCAGAATGACATCCAGTACGTCACTGTGGGAACAGGTGCAGTGAATGTCTTCATGACCATAGCTGCTGTAGGTACCCTGTTAAATTCAAGTTTGAAAAGCTGTTAACACATTTGAGAGGAGGAGCTGAAGTCTACAGTCCTTTGTTTGATCATATCTGCCGGGGATAATAGTTCTAAACAGGGAATTTGTTTTACCAGGTCTTCATCGTGGAGGCCTCGGGAAGACGGCTGCTCCTCCTCTGTGGGTTTGGGATCTGCTGTGGAGCCTGTGTGCTGCTTACTGTCGCTCTCACCTTCCAGGTAACGTGTAAAGCTTCAGTGTGATTCACAGTTTCAACGTGTTACTCTGCTGCCTTCTAGTGGCTCAGCATACAAAATAATTTGCTGTTTTATGTCAGAGTTTCTCAACCTTGAGGTCAGGAGATTTGTTATGGAGACTGAGTCAGAGGAGGTTGACAGGTGAATTATCTCTGTGTTTATTTCCAATAATAGAATATTGATCTAGCTCTGCACTCTAGCACATTTTACTTGAAATAAAACATTGACTATGAGATTAAAGTGATGAAATGTAACTTCAATTAAAGGAAGATGACATCCACCTCGGTTGAACTATGCAGGAATTGTAGCCTTTTGTATGCAAAATGTAAATACACATTAAAATAAGCTTACATGAAGTCATTATACTTGATATATGGTTGCAAGCCTGCAGTCCACAGATCAGCAGACACTTTTGTATTTTCTGATGTTCTGACAGGCCAGTATTGCAGCGATCTTTACTTCTTGCTTGTTTTAAGGGGCTTAACTTCTTCAGACTACTGTAACTACAACAAGGTTATTATAGGTAACTAAATCTAGTAAAAAAAACTAGACATTAGCAAAAAACGAAAACTAACTGTAACAATATATAATAATAATACAAAATAGACTAAAATAAAATTAAAATAAACAGGAAGTATGACAACGCTGGTGCATTTGTTCATCAAAACTGTGAACCCAGAGGGTTGTGTTTGTATTGTAATGTCTGTTTGAACTTCTTCAATTAACCTGACAGATACTGACCTATATAATATTGACATATTATTAAAAAAACTCTAATTCATACTAAAATTAATAACTAAAAATGTTTAAACAGTAAAAACTAAACTGAAACAAGTAACCCCACTGTGGGAACTCTGAAGCATGGTCATTATAGTCAAGCACAGATAGAAGGAGGGAGGGGTCTAATATACTCCCACAGGCTGTTGAGCTGATTGCAGGCAGCTGCAAAAGGGAGTCAGTTAGGGACCTCTGGTGGATCTGGAAGATAGCACAGGGGAGTTCAAGTTCCTTGATTGCCTCATCTGTACTGCACGTTCAGGATTAGTGTCCTGCTTCACTGGGGAACTACGTATATGATTATGAGTCACCCAATATCGATTTGAACCACCTCAAACACCCTTAAAGGGTTGGGTTACCCACATGACAAAAAAATAAACACCACCTCTAGTGGTATCAAGCCACGGGAGTGTATCTATGTTCCTAAGGTCCTATCCCCAACCCGCTAACCCCAACCCTAGTACTGGACAGCACTTGTGTTTGTGGTGCTCACAGCAATAAAAAATACTCTGCAAATGCTTTGATGACTTAAAAAAACATTTTGGGAGTGTATCGGCTTAGTACCATGGTGTGGGCTCACAAAGCATGACTCACAGGAACAACAAGTAAAAGTAAAACAAAAGTTTGCTTTGTTACATGGCAGAGATCAGCAAGGAAAAGGAAGCAAACAGGTAAAAAACCCCAAAAGTCAGGAACCATAATATAAAACGTTATAACAGGAATGACTCAATAGAGGAGCACAGCGCACCACTATGACTAATGCTGCATTCACGTCATATTGGAGAGATTCCTGTGTTTACGTCATCCAGACGGTTGTAAACTGTAATTACAGAGTTTTTCATATGGGGATTAAAATACTGTGCATTGACCATATAGCAGTATGTCCATGAAATGTTGGTATTATTACTTTAACGAACAGTCTTTATATTTGTTTGTTTTTTAGGCACTTCTGTATTATTAAGTACCAAGTTGGATATATTAGAGCTTTCAGAAAAAACAGACTCTTTCAATTGTAATTATGACGTATAAAACTTATATTTACAATATCTTCAGATATAACATGAATGCAGCATAAGCGGGGCAGGTATACATACTGGGGGAGCTGATGAAGGAATTGTATGTGTCGAGATCAGGTGAGGCCTGAGGCTCTGAGATGGCAGAAGACTTTAGTGAATGACAGACTAAACTGTCAGACTGGCTGAAGAGTAAAAAACTGCAAAAGGTTTATAAATTATCTGTGGCCATGACAGAGAGAACCATCCCTTTAAAGCTGAAAATCAGCACTTTAACCTTGTGGTCACAGTTTCATTAAATTCCAGTGTACTGAAGTACAAAGGCTAAACAGCAGCTACAATTTACTGTAATGTTTATGTATTATACATTTAGAGCTTGGTCTGGAAAATGAAATGCTGACCTGACATCTCTATTTGCTGGGGTCATGAGAACTTCGAGACATAAAAACAGAGTCACCCACCACAAAAGTATGAGAAACACTTGCCATTAGACAGAACCACAAAACCAGTGCTCCCCACCCCCCCATAACCCTATGATGATTTTGGATCCAGGTGAGATTAGTGAGATCAGTGAGATCAGTCTTCACAAGTTTAAGAGTAAATGCACGATTTAAAGAACATGCACACTAATAATCCACTGAGTGAAGGTTTTAATATGGACTCCGACACATCCGTTAAGGAGATTTAGTTGCATATTTGTTTCCTGTTTGAAAAAAATCAATCAATCAATACGACTAGTTAATGATAACAGCAGCTGTTGGTTTGTGTTGACAGGAGAGTGTGACGTGGATGCCCTACATCAGCATCACTTGTGTCATCATCTACGTCATAGGACATGCCATAGGACCCAGTGAGTCTGACCCCACCTGTGGTTATTTACACACACGCTAATTACAACAGGGCGCTCCATTAGCTGAAGTGTTGTTTGGATGGGACCAGACATGTAATGATATATATTGTAAATCTACAGTCAGTTGTTTTGAGACATGAGCATCCTTGCTGTGACCCTGAAGAGTGATGATGTGTCTCGAGTGTTTTGGTTGTGGTTGACCACATCTGTGCTCTCCAGGTCCCATTCCTTATGTGGTGACCACTGAGATGTTCAGGCAGTCAGCCAGGCCCGCTGCCTTCATGGTCGCAGGCTCTGTCCACTGGCTTTCCAACTTCACTGTTGGCCTCATCTTCCCCTTCCTAGAGGTCAGTTACACAATTTCTAAGAGCCCTCACATTGCAGGAAGGAAAGTTTATTATTGAGAAATTTAATTAGTTACAGATGTTTTTTTAAGTGTAAACATTGGTCACATCCTGACTGTGATATGATCATTTATACTTATACTTATATTCTGAATTATTTTATTCCTGTATGTTTGTCTTCAGATTCGCAGGCAGACTTTTAATTCAACCCAACAAAAGAAATTCCTGTACGATGTTAGCACTAAGTTGATTCAAAATATAACACATGAAAAACAATATATTTATCAAGCAGCAATTCAACGTCATGTGAAATACACACTTTTTGCCAAGATTTAGATGAGAACATGGACATCTCTACCACTCAGTCTTGTCATCACCATGATGTTGCCAGGCACATAACCCCCTGTAACACCACAAATGATCATTTTTACATCTGTTGTTAGTTAACTTTTACCTGCACAGTTATTAAAAGTATTATCAAAATCCCAATATGACTAAGTTTAAATAAGGTAAATGTGTGACAAACAGCATTATAGTGAAGTACTGTAGTGCTGCAGAGATGCCTTGGCCTACATATCTTGTTCTCCATTTAAGGAAACATGTTTGTTTGGTACAAGACAAGACACAGACCTCAACAAATGTCACATCATCAAGACTTGTAATAGTTTTTTCAGGGAAAATTATAATTGTGATGCAAAAAACTTATTCCCACTAACCATGAATCACAAGCTTTATATTTGTATGGACTAGACAAACCTGATATTACAATTAGATATATAATTATATTTTTAGAGGCTCTAGTAGGCTGATTTGTTACCTTTGGACAGAGCAAGGCTATTTCTTTTCCTCGTTTCAAGTCTTTATTAAGCTAAGCTAACTGCCTGTACTATTTTTAAAATCTATATTTTCCGCGGTACTCATTATAAAGATTGAGACTTACTTTTAAGTGCTCCAGTCCCCCTCCACTCAAAAATGTGTTTGCTTATTGTTGTTCACTTGACTATTTGACCTTCAATGAGCAAAATGATGTATGTGCAGAGTGTGTATATACTATATACTAAATCTGAGTTTAAGGCGAGTGTGTAAGAGAACGATCTCGACTTCACAACTGGTTTAGAAGTCAGTCATGTCAGTACTTACACAACAGAGAACTGACTTTAAAGTGAAGTATTGTGAAACAACCCTGGAGGGCATCTTGAATAATCTTTTAATCTCACGTCCTCTTTCTTCTAGCAGAGGTAGCATTAGTCTCTGTTTAACGGGAGAGGTTTTGTCATTTTCTAACAGACCAAGTGGTGTAATCTTAAGATACGAGATGAGACAAACACAAACATTATGCGTGTCTCATGTTTTCCTCTTCTAACCAGAAACCAAACAAGTGAAGAATTTGTTTTAGTAACAAAAACTAAAAAAGACCATTCCAATAAAAGTAGCGTGCAAGCCACAACACTTCACCTCACCTTGGCTGCTGTTGTTGTATGTCGGACCAACTGTTTCTGGCTAACATGTTTATAATGTTTCATCTTGAGGACACACTGATCACATTTCCTCCCCATCCCCCCTTCTCCCTCCAGAGAGGTCTGGGCTCCAACAGCTTTATCATTTTTTCCTTCATCTGTCTGGTCACACTGGTCTACATCTGGCTGGTGGTCCCAGAGACCAAGAACAAGACCTTCCTGGAGATAAGCCAGATGTTCGCCAAGAGAAACAAAGTGGAGATCAAACTGGGTGATGGGGATCTACCACTGAAAGAGAGCAAAGAAAGCATGGAGGATGCAGAGAGGGTCACAGCCTTCTGAAGAAAAATGAGAGCATTCAGAGGAGAGGAAGTCTTCGCTCTTGGGGGGTATTGTAATGGACTGGAAATGTTTTAATTTGACTCTATTTTTATTGTACTGGGAATCCTCACACAATCTCCTTTTGCACAGTTTGTTTGTAGCTGCTATTGGAAAAAATAAGACCTTTGTTCAATTTAATGCCATTAAACTTGATGTGTGCACTACATGCAGCCTTTTTAGAGACGTGAATGAATCATTAAACAAACCAACAAGTCACTTGGAAGCCTTTATTAATAAGCAAAGATATGAAAACAATACATGTCTGAAGATAAAAGATAAAACAGTTTATTGACTTTACAGGTGCCTGAAAGACATTTTCCCCTTCATTACATATGCCATACATATTTTAAAATCCCTCCATCAGCAGTAATATGTTGGTTTATTGCAGCATTTTAAAGCTCATGCAAACAGAAGCAGCTGAGCATCTTAGGGGCATCTGTACTGACTGTCCAGCTGCACCCCTCCATACAGACTGAGTTTGGTGGTTCCCCAGCTGAACACATTTCCCACCGAGGTGCTGTTCCTCTCACATGACATCTGGTCCCGGATGTCTGCTGTGGTCAGGACATAGTCCCACACGTTGACATCAGTCATCTTACCCACGAAGGCGTCTGCATTAGAGATGCCCAGTAATCCATCCTGGTCTTTGCCCAGGATGAACACCCCGCCGGGGTTGATTGTGTAACCGCTTTTCAGGTAGCGCTGCTCCCCCACCATGCCGTTGATCCACAGCTCCGTGCCGCCGGTGTGAGACGACCAGGTGATGCAGTAGTTGGCCCAGTCGTGGGACCTGAAGTTGTGCGGCAGGTTGACAAACTCGTTGCCAATCCAGAGGCCCACCTCTCTCGATTCTCTGTCTTCGCCGATGGAGATCATTAGCTCGTTGTCATTGCCGTTGCTGGAGTAGGAGATGACCGTGTGGACCCCCTCAATCTGAGGCAGGACGTGCATGCAGGCAGTGAAGGAGTCCAGGTCCATGGCATGGCCGAGGCGGGCCAAGGCATAACTACCAGAATTTTTCTCCTGGAAGCTGAGCACCAGAGGAAACAGACCGCGGGGTTCTGAGGAAGACAGAAAAAAACATTTAAGCCAGAAATATCCATCTCCCTTTAATCCTGCACAGTCACAAATCCCAGCTCAAATTCAGTCCGAATGAAAATATAGTACTCACCGAATTTGGTAGGCCTTGGGTTGCGAGGTCCACCTTTAGGGGAATAATTAAAAAAGAGAGCAGAGTAATTATGGGCACTTTTATTTCACATCCAGCCATCTGTAGCCGTTTTAATAACTATTAGTTTGCTCACCTGAATGTATGTGCTTTCCAAGAGACGTTATCAGACCCTCGATTTTCTGGAGCCTGGATTCGATTTCATCTTGCCGACAAAATGCTGAAAAGACAGAAAAGTGAATGAAAATGGCGAAGATCAGACTCAGGAATAAATGGTATTGCAATGTTTGGTAATCGCAATGTCGCAACACGTTACACACTTCCTTTCCCGAGGCGTGGCAGGAAAGAAGACTCCACCACACGGTCGTTGAGAGGCTGAGCGATGCGGTAATCATTCCACAGGGTCTTGTTGTCCATGTCCATCAGAGTACTCTCCAGTTTCCTGATCTGAACACAACAGACACAAAGACATTGCAGCACATAATATTCAGTAGAAGTTGGTTTCCTTTTGGTGACCTTACAGTTCCATAGATGACAGAATATCATTTATCAGCTGTAATATTATGAACACAGACTTTCAAACTTTCTCAGTTTTGTAACGAATGCCTTCCTGTCCGCTGTACCTGGTTGTGTGAGAGAGTTATGGGCGTATCAAACACAGTCCAGAGGATGCTCTCGTAGCAGGGTGGAGTGGTGAGGGAGCCCTGGTATCTGAAGAAATGGTTGAGGTTCTCGGGGAGCATGGAGCGCACGTCGATGTGCGATATATTCATGGACTGACCTGTCAGGGTTTACATTACAATCACATTAGACTCAAACTCTGAATTTAAAGTCAGTTCATTTCTCTGTGCAGTGACTCACCTGCATACTTGATTCTGTGCAGATTGGAGATAAAATCACTGTAGTAGGTGTTCTCAAAATGCCCGTCCTGAAAGAAAAACCAAAGCTGTGTGAAACTTAAATCTTAAAGGTTTACTCAAAGCAGAAGGATTGTTGCTAATGTTTTTCATTGTTATTGTTTTTAAGGCTGAGTGGCGTCACTCGTTGTTTCCTGTGTTGAAACATGTGATGTGAAACCCGTCTGAATATAACGCAACGGGTGACTTGAGCAAAAGTAAGCAAGAGCAATATAAAATATTGATCTGTGGTTTGATTTAAACCACTTCTTTGAAAAGATGTCATTATTAATCCCTCATTGCACCAGAAAACAGTCTATGGATACAAAAGGTCAAAGATTAACCTGAATGTCAATGAATAATGTTTTTAATGGACACTAATCATTTTAACACATTATATTCTGTCTGAACATCTGACTTCTGAGTGAAGAGTGAGAGAAAGGAACACAATTATGATTTAAACTGTGGATGTCCCGATCAGGTTCTTTTAGCCCCCGATATGATCAGAATCATTTAATATTGAGTATCAGCTGATACAGAGCCGATACCTGACTGTACTTTAAGTACATTAAAGGTATTAAATCCAATCCCATGTTTGTCCATGACAATTAAATAGTTCTACATTGCATTAAGAAAAAATGCCTGCATAGAAGCTCCTTAATGTTTCTTTTCTAGAATAAAATATAAAATTACAGATCTGTAATATTTATATCTTTCTCCAGTGTTTGTTGCTTCGGTGCAGCTTTTACATGAGTTACATCTGAATGAACTGTATGTCTATTAATTATTCCCTCTTTTTGGCATTTTATTTGTGGGGCTTTTGTTGCACTTGCAGTGGGGTGTTGAGTCTGTGTCTGCCTTGAGCACAGGCAGCCCCAGCCCCGCGGTGAAGCTCCACAGCAGGCGGTGCTGCCTGTGCTCTCAAACACACACAGAGGCGGAGAATGGAGAGAGTTGATGGTGGATGAATGTGTGTAAAACCAGCTGTCATAAAACAAAAGGATCGGGTCAATAAACCTCAATTCAGCCGATACCAATTGGTCAGGACATCCCTTTTTTAAACTTCCACGTCAATTACTCATTTGTTACTAAATGAGTTTGTCCGAATCAAACTAACTCTCGGCACCTCTGTGCTGCTATCTGTCATGGTGGATGCCAGCAGGGGTGTTGCTGCAGCGATGACCTCCCCCAGCTGAGAGCCTGAGATCCAGAGCATTCCTCTGGAAACAAGCACTCATTCAATATGTCAGCATGCAAATGAACACTCAATAGAGGCTTTCAACCCGGCAGGATGACTGAAAAACGTATCATATACTTCAAAGGGCTTTTGGGTTATTTCACTACAAAGCAGAACTGATGGTCATATATCAGAAATAGTGCTGCTGACATCCTGTGTGGATGTTGAACAGGCTGGTGGTTAGAGGAAGGGGAACAAAGTGTGTGTGTGTGTGTGTGTGTGTGTGTGTGGGGTTTTACGTACATCATAAAAAAAGGCCAGTACTGCCAGCCCGTCTGGTTTATCTCTGGCTTCAGTGAAGCTCTTGTACTTGTCAGAGTTGTAATGGACAACATGGAGCTGAAAGACACAGTGGAAAGGCAGAACAGGTTAGGTGCCAAAATATGTCCAATGACCTTGCAAAATCGGAAACTCTCCACCAAACCAAGGAGAGTCCACCAAAGGTTATTAAATAATATAAAAGTATGTCTAGTTTAAATTTAGTTAGAAATTGAAGTCAAATACAAGCAAATTAAGGCTGGCTCAGACAGCAAAGACATATATTGGCAGGGAAATATGCAGAGGAAAACAAAGGCCTCTGTTTATACATTTACCTTTAGGCGGCTCAGAAATGGAGTCAAAGAAGAGGGCGAGGATCAGTTTTCAAATTAAAAGCTGCAGTTAATTCTGATTTCCTTACTGATGCAACCCAAGCACTGCATACAAACATGATCTACACTGTGGCAGTTACCTGAGGCAGTGTAATAGTACTCACTTCAGCATCTCATAGCTGTTCAGGTGTGTTTGATTAGCCTTTAATGAAGGATGTTTGCATTGTGCGTTAAAGGCTTGTCATCACTGCAGTTTGTTTCTACCCTGTCTCGCTTTATCGAGGCAAACGTCAACTTTGAATTAGTTAAATTTAGTCTATTTTAAACAAACCTCTGCCATGTAGCGGATGCCATCTACGGTGTGCTCTGCTCCGCTGGCCTCCAGGTCCCAGCCGCCCCAGTGCAGGTGCATCTGGACAGCTGTGTATTTTCCTGGGAGGCCCTCAGTGATCACCATGGTGGGAGGCAGGTCAATTTGAACTGATGGAAACATAAAGATGTTTAGATATTAAAGGAGCAGTGTGTAGTATTCAGTGGCATCTAGTGGTGAATGTGCAGATTGAAACAATCTGAATATAGCTCAGCCTCCCGAGCATGTAGGAGAAACTAAGGTGGCTGCCAAACTTGGTGTGTTTGTTCTACTGTAGAAACATGACGGTTCAACGTGGCAGGAAGAAGATCCACTCCCTCTGTATATAAAAACGTCTCATTCTAAGGTAACTAAAACACAATGATTCAGGTATTTAAACATTAATGAAAACTTACATATTGATATTCTGTTCAATTACTGGAAATCGAGCCTCCTAAAATGTACACACTGGACCTTTAAAGTGTTTAATTTAAAATAGCCACTTGTTTCTCTACAGACATTTCTGTGAGAAAATCCAATAAAAGACTCTTGAAACTTCTTGAGTTGTATAAACAGTGAACATAAAGTCTCACTGATCATGAAGTAATGAAGTGCAGACTTCTCAATCAAATCAATACCATGCACGGAAAGTGTGCACATTGTGATACATAAAGTTCTGAGAAGTTGCTAATTGAGTTTTACACCATAAAGAAATGCATACTTTAGAAAATGTTAAATTCTTGATATTAAAATGCTCAACATTTGTTTAGTCCAGGAACTGGAACAGCAGAGACAGTGGTTTGGTCCTTTCACAGTGAGATTATATTTAGTTATTCATACATTTCCTCCATGCTGGCTTCTCTTACCCGAGTGCCCGTTGTTGCTCATGAGGAAATTCCCACTCTGAGCATCATAACCGTTCAGCTCCAGCTGTAACATGTCTGGGTTGTGTCTCACGTTGCGCCGCTGGATGTCGATTGGGGACTGCTTCTTGCCGCCACATGCAGGGTACTTGGTCGGCCAGTGCATCTGGTCCAAAGCTCCCTCTGCGTGGAGAAAACCAGGGAGCGTAAAACTATTATCACATTGTAAAAAATTACCCACTAAGTGAAGTCAATGAGATGAGATACATGAACTTAGGGAGTGATTGTGTTCGGACCACTGCAAAAAACATTCCTGTTTGTGGAGAATTAAAAACCGGTCACATGTCGATAATTACACTGGCATGCACAGGAGTTGTTCAACTGGATATTGTTGCAGCTGATGGTGTGTTTCTCTGTAGTATTCACTCCCAAATGATTTACTACTGCCGCGCTGTATACACCTAATAATTTGTTTCTGTGAGTGTCTTCACAAGCTCTGGCTGTGACCACAGCAGTCTGGCAAGTAGTTATCCGAGGTACGTGGCCAACGCAGAAAACCAAGCAGCTAAATGCCTCGGGTGACTGTCAAATAACGAGAATAATAATCAGAAGGATAATAGCCTAATAATAGCCTATTAAAACCACTTGGGAAAGGTGTTTTGCTGCTTCTTCGTCTTCGTACCAAAACAAATACGCGCGCTGGAGCGGCTGTCACGCACGTTTTACGCACGAAACACAATTAAGTCTAATTAAATTCTGTCAGAAAAAAGTAATAACGGTTCATAAAAATAAATCATTCTTAATGCTTAAATTAAATAAATAAAAACCCTACCTGTGTATGTCCAGTGTATTCCATCAGGAGGGATCCCAGCACTGACAACACAAACCAAAACAGCTGAGACAAACGCAGAGAAAGACTCCATCGCTGAGTCTCTGAGAGGACACTTCACTTCAGAGGTTTTCTCTCTAGATTTAAACTGCGAGTGAAGGGAGGTGTTGAAATCTCCGCTGAAAACGCCCAGAGTTCTTCTCAGAAGCCCCAAAGTGACAGCAACTCTCACTGACTATCTCACGCACTCTCTCTCTCTCTCTGCATTTATAAAAGGCTTGAGTTGAATTTACCTCTCAGTGTGAGAGAAGGTTTCACTGTCTGCAGGTTATTCTAATCTTATTGCCAAATAAACAAGGCAGCAGGTAATCACTTCAGGTAAATAGGCTAAAATAAAAAAGTTGGAGGCAATTATTTGACTTTGGAATATCACCAAACCAGAGTGTAGACAAGGAGATGAACATCAAAACAATATTTCATACATCTTGTTGCCTTTCTGTGCAGGATCACAGTCATCCCTCAGTATCTAATATCTTTTACCCCTTAACTGTACTTTCTCACAACCCAAACAATTGCTGACTAACTTATCACTTGTTCAACAGAAGTCATCAATCTTCTCAGAAAAGTACAAGCACATTCATGCCACTGTCACTTTGTTGGCAAATATGCAAGTCATTTTGAAAAAAACAGATTTGGGCTCTGATAAAAAACACATTCATGAATTAAAAAACCTGTAAGCCAATGGTTGTAAATAATAATCCATGACACGTATAATCTGTTGATGCACACTAGTTGCAACATGTCCAACACCTGAACCTTAAATGCCAGAGCTATTCAACTCTGGGGGGTGTGTGTGCAGGTGGAACAAATGTCCTTACAAGGACATATACATAAGGGGAAATGAAGGAGGTATTTTATGGTATTTTGAAGGAATAGTTCAACATTTTTGGGAAATATTCACTTCCTTGCTAGGTCACCTGTTATTGGAGCAAAGGGCAAAAAGGGCGGGACTTATGAAGGGTCAATTGGATGAGAAGATAGATATGAATCTTATATTTGCCTGGTTACCTTTAGCATAAAGGCCGGAAAGAGCTCACTAATTAAAACACTGTTTGTTGTTGGTTTAATTCAGTGACAATGGTATCAGTCTTCTCCTCTAACTCTCTGTAGGAAAGCAAATAAGTCTATTTCTCAAAATGTTAAACAACTTCTTTAACTTATGGTTAAAACTGTAGACTTAGAGTAAAATAAGTTTGTTTAAGGGATTCATTTAGTCGAAGAGAGTCCTCATGAATATAGTAATCCAAATATCTTGGGGGGTGATGTGTGTGTTTGTGTGTAAAGGACTGATTGAATTACAAAGTGATCAAAGGACTTACCTTGATTTAAGAGCTCTCATTGTCCCGCTCACATCCTTCCTCTCCAGACTGGAGTTACAGCCTCTCTGCGGCCTGCAGTTTATTGATACCAGTTGTTTTTGTGTTGCTATCAACACCTAAAGGCTGATAAAAAACGCTCTAAACAAGCCCAGGTGGAGAAAACAGAGCTGACCTTTACGGGTGAAGTGACAGAGAATTTTCTACATGTACAAAGTCTGAGATCATTGACAAGCCACAGATTTGATACCCCTAAGAGCTATACGTGCATACACCAGCACTTAGAAATGAAACAAGTCTGTCTTCTTCCTCAGTAAATCACTAGGTTTATCTTTGCCTTGAAGACAATCATAGTTTTTAAGGTCTTGAGGACTTTAATGATGTAACTCTACCAGCCAAACCTAGTAATTTAAAGCCCAGATATGGGGAGCTTGACCTATATGATTCAGCTGCAGATTGTATGTACAGAGTCCTGTAATGATTAACACAACAAAAGCTATACATTCTTTCATCAGAAATCATTAACTAGATTTTTAACTAGAGTGCAACTGCTCACATGTGGATATAATTTACAACAGGTGAAATTCCTTACATAGGACACCTCATTACACGGACCCTCTGACCTTTACGGTTTATGAGTCCAATGAGGATTTATTATACTGAAGGTCATCTTTTTCCCCCAGTAAGCTAGTTTTGATGATTTGTTATGCCAATGCAGTCACCAGTATATACAGTCATTTATACATGCCATGATAATAGGTAACCCGGTTGCCCGGTTTAATCCGCTCAACAGTGAGATGGGAGGAAGCTTCATCAAAACATCAAATTGACGAAAACTACAAATACAAAATTGTTAAAACATAAAATAAGTAGTAAGTATAAGTATAAGTATTTGCATTTATAAACACATTAATAACACAACACAGCAATCTCACAACATCTACATACACTGAATAAACTAATGCACACACATACAAACACATACGGCTGATAGTGACAAGATTCAATTACAATATGTTCGTTTGTGTTAAAGGGGAACTTCCAACTTCAACAACACCATTTTTTCCCGGTTTTTGTGTCTAAATGACAAATGGGGGAGAACAGTTTTCTAAATTGGTCCAGTGCAGCCGGCAGCCCTGAATCAGGCTGCAATGTAATCCTTTTGGGACTTATTGTATGTCCACTAAAAGTGCTTGTTTCCTACCACAGACAGACTCAGATTGTTATAACAAGTGTCTGACAACATTATGGAAGCATCCTTCAGAGACCTTTTTGTTCAACCAGAAACCGTTGTTACTTTGCTCGGCTAAGCATTGGTGTTTTAACATGTTAAAGTTAGTTGGGATCCAAAAAAGCTGCAGCGTTCTCGCTCAATATTGGACCAATTTCAAAAACTGTTGTCCTCATTTAACCTTGAGATGCAGCTGGACAAGAAATCAGTCCCCATTAGTCACTAAGACACAAGAACGTGGGAAAAAAGGTCCAGGTCGAAAAATACAGAAGTTTCCTTTTATCAACCGGTAGTCCAGCATTACTGTTTGTTCACCACTTCTTTCATATGCAACACCTTAGTATCTTTAAATATCAGCATGTGTGAATTTTTTTTATTTTGTGGTCATTTGATTTGACACTTTACTCCTTTACCCAAAACTGTTATCATTCAACTGCAGTATTTGTATTTTTAAAGGGGACAGGAGTCAGGACGAACCCTTCAAGTTATTACACACAGAAAGTGCTTTATCATTGGGAAAGTTACATTTTTTCTGTTTTTCTCTGATATCATGCAGCTTCTCTGCCTCAACTCATAGGGATTTATAGAGTTTAGTGATGGAGGTGTACTTGTAGCTCTCCACTAACAACAAGTAGCTAAGGTTATCTTTCCATCAGGAACCCTGTAAATCACTAAAAGTTGGAGCAGAGCAGCCGGAAGAGATCAGGGGGAAGACCATGAAAATATTTCCTCCGTGAAATAGGATCCATTTTCCCAGAAAACTAGTTACAGGGCCGAAAAACATTAAATAAACAAAAACTAAACCGCTTAGTCATTAGGGGGATTAGCACCCCTGAGAGCACTTTAATATGTTTTATCTGCCATAGGGGCATCCATGAGGGCAGTTTCTCTTTTAACATCAGGGTGGGGGGGGCGGCCAGGGAATAAAGTTATAAAAGTTGTGTGCTCCGGTGGCATCGTTCATCTTTCAAAATGAATTCTCATTTGTGGTCTGACAAACAGTAAATCCAGTGCCCCATATCGCAACTGACAAACTAAGTTAATGAAGCTGTCAGAAGCACACAGGAAAGAGGACAAAGCGCTGTTGACAAGCAGTGCCCCCCCCCCCCCCCCCC